TGAAAAATCACTTGCTTTCTAAAGTGAAGCATTGGACCAATAGAATTACACAATATCTGGAACACCGATGATAGATTTGTAAACAACAAGGATGCATAATTGTATTATTTTTCGTAGAGAACATTTTAATTGAAGTCAGATTAGTATATAGTTCATACTCAAAGTGCACAAGCCACCTTCTGGTGTATATAAATGGTGTCAACCATTAAAATTTATCCTTGTTCAAAGGTGATGCCTACCTTTTATTAAGTTTAGGATGATACTGGTAGACATTTTATAATTTTTAAAATGAAATAATTGCCTGAGAAAAACGGTGAAAATGGAATCTAGATAGGCGAATTCTGTCATGTTATAACCGACTAAAGAAAATAATAACCTCAGACATTATTTTGAAAGATATTTTACTCAAGACCAATCTGACGGTATACAAATCCCCCATTCAGAAAAACGATTGAAATACCTAATTAGTTTTCTTTGTTTATGCAGGAAAGGGAGATTTTTTAAAATTTCACTTGTTGTTACGGTCACTTGTTATAAATACGAAAAAGGATAGTGAACTTCACTTTGTCACTTAGACGGCTGTAAATATCTCACCCTGATTTCACTTCACTTGGTGACTCTTAGGCGGGAAAAAGCCTAGTAAATGTACCAATGATTTGTTCAGGTGGTAAGATGTGTTGAATGTCTGAATTACACGACATTGTCATAGCTATGCTTTTACCAGTCATCATGCCTAGCACCTATGCTAGTTTATTCACCGTTATAAGTTATATGATAATACAAGTAAGTAGTCTCATTTATAGGCTTCTATTTGACTCCTTATCAACTACTGTATCATCTGTTTTGCATCAATTCATTAAAAGCATTTCACTCACTTTCTTATGGACAGTATGAATTGCTTGGGAATTGTAAATTACTAGTCGACGGCATGACTGAGTGTAGTCTGACTGTGAACTGTCGAACACATAAAGACCACCTGTTTAAATCTTGTAAAGGGAAACAACCTCAGAAAAATTCATGTAATACAAAGGATTTTATTATGAGTTAGTTTTCTAGGAAGTCTTATGTTGCGTTTTATCCATCATTAAACATAATTCTTGTCTACCAGTAAGAAATGATATTGAAGGCGTATTTAACGTGATCAAAAATTATTCGTGAACAATAAAAGTGACTCTAAAAGTCACCGAGAAACTGCTGAAACAACCAATCAAGTTACTTCCTTTTTAATGAGAAGGTAGAGAGGTATAATTTTGAGTACACTTCCGATAGCTGTGCACAGCAGAAGCACTGGCAATTCACCAATTCAAGCCTGATCTCTGAGTTCACTCTCTTATCTTACCATAATCTTAACAGTTGCACAATTTTTCGATTTTATTATAATTACTTAGTTTACCATTACCGTCTATATTTCTTCTAATCTTGTCGTGAACTGACAGAAGTTGAAAATATTAACCATTGGATTCCACCCCAATGGCTCAATGGTAACGTCTTGGCTACGGGACATGAAGCTTCTGAGTTCGATCCCTGACGAGGTCATAGGTGTGCACCGCTGAGAAATCTCATACTAGGATGAAACAGTTTCGAATATTTCTCCATCTGATATCAGTCCGTGACGAATACCATCTTGAAATCAATATATCAATCATCACAAACCTCTAAATTTAATTATTGTATATCCGATCTTTTGTGCATGAAACCAGTTGTTTCATTTAAAAAAAATTGTGACGTGATATGGTTATGTAATTTAATTGTATGCGCGGATGATTCAGTTTGCCAGAGATACACGGACAGTATGCATTAGACTTTGTGTTCTCTTGTAGACTGTCAACAGGAGTGAATTGGGTGACTTTTCAGTGGGTGAATTGAGCAGACGAGACGTGGCAAGTATATGTGAGACTGATCACATGCAAAGTCAGAGTTAGGGGTGAATCAGCAGTTGTGTGAAACTTTCAGTAATGGTAGTGAACTTAAAACTTAGTCAGAAGCTAGGTCACATTGACTCAGAGAGCAAAGCCGGTGACCTGGAGACTGCTGGCTCACACTCTGTTGTGACTCAGGTTTTCATTTCACCTTCAATCACCACCCAGTTACCAATTACGATTTAAGTGTAAGAAGCACAAACAGGTCACTCCATCTTCAGTTTCTTGAGACAGTAAAATTCAATAGAACAGTTAAAAACAAAACAACTACGTTGTATGAGAAAAAGGAAATGCGGGTATCCTTGAAATATATTATGTAGATGGGTCTACAATAAGATATGAGAACTAACAGTTTGAGGATATAGAGACACAAGCAAATGAGACGTTGTAAACAGTCTGTGGAAGTTACATTTATTTCTCAGGAGTATTGGTAAATAATCGGATTCAAACTCCCCTTGAAACTGGCCAACCGGGTAGCATGGAAAGTCATTGTAGAGCAATTATAGTTCATAGTCTAGTAAATCAACCTGGAGTGGGTCGCTGATTTGGACACTAGAGAGTAACCGATTTCAATTTTTGTGGTCCTGATAGCTGATTGAATTCTTCAGATTATTTTCCAATGTATTCATCATGCTAGGAAACCCACCACTGTGGTTCACATTCATTGGTGTTATGTGGAGCTGTGGTTTATTGGTCTAAACACTCGATTTTCAGCCAGTCAGTTATAGGTTTGAACCTTACGCCACTTACCGAGGTTTAGGAAGCTGTATGTAGCTTATTGCTTAGTATACGGATATTTACATGGTTGTTGATTGTATTAAGATGTTAGTTAGTTAGTTGGATGGGATAGACAAAAGATCGTAGAACTGGGTTTCATCCTTGTTAGCACTCGTTAGAAAGGTGTATCTACAATGAGTTAACATCCAATAAAATGTACTGCTATGGTCGGTTCCCTACCTCGATGACTACAATACAAAATGATAAACAGACATCAGTCCACAAAAACGACTAGAAAATATGAAATCACTTGCTCTCTCGAATGAACAAACAACGTATCTAATCCAGTTTTACAGGTCAATAATGGCTCGAACAGTTCAATGTCGAGGTCTCTGACTACAGGTGACGCTAGTTCTCCCAAGGTTGTAGACACATCTTGATGACAAATTCCCGCAAGCTAGAGACCTAGGTCTTTAATCTTCTGTCGACCATCTCCACACTACTCACACCTATTCATCTTCTGTTCCAGTAAAACAGTATTGCCAGCAAATGAAATTTTTACTCACTTCAATTTTCCTGAAACATATACCGTTGCACAAAGTGACATGAAAACAGACAGAGAGACAGACAAAATCAACGTAGAACCTCACACAAATGCGTCGCTTGAACCTGCCACACTTCACAGTAGTATCCAAAGAACAATTAGATGGAAAAAGCGTGATATCAAAGTAGTGTTACAGAATAAAAAAGCTGAAGGTTATTGCCAATATTCAAACCTTAGAAGGTATCAAGGAGCTAATACATTCCCACCATTGTGACGGGTTTTCAGCCATGTCACCAACCACTTATTCCTATCGTCTTGGGGACTCCAGTTACGTAGCCTACATCTCTCCACACGGCTGAGACCAACAACTTCATAAACCGAGTGGTTTGGTCACCCTGAACCCTCTTCTAACCTAATCCAAATTCCCCTAGCATGACACAGTGGCTCGGCATGCTCAATACATATCCAAGTCACCTAAGTAGGAGAAAGTTCACAACCTCTAGTATCCTTCACCTTCAACGAGTTTGGAAGACCCCTATTCACTTAGCTATATAATATCGATTACATACTCTAAATCAACCAGATGACCTTCAGCGAGTATATCAATCCCAGTGAAGTCAGATGTACCTAAGATTATGTCCGTTAGTACGTCTATGACGAAGTTAACTAGAAACGGTGATAACGGACATCCTTGTCGTTACATACTTGTTCGGTACTTCCTTCATAGTCAGACACTGCTACAATAACTAACGGTTAACAGAATCAAATGCCGCCGCCTTCAAGTCGTGACATGTGTTACTTGTTGGCCATTAGTAGCTAGGTACCTCTATGTTCGAGAACTTGTCGGAAGGTGAAAATATGATCGACGGACCCTCATCCAGCTATCTGAAACCTCATTCTTTTAAACTGGAATGATCAGTGAAGAACACTACTATGACTGGACTACCACTGATTCCCGTACATTACCTAGTACCTCCATCAATTTAATTCGTGCAGCCTTCGAAACTACAGGTGGTAAACTGTGAAGTCATGCTGCTTTCCATCGTTTCAGGTTCCATACAGCCTTCTCAACTTCAAGGAGATTTGGAGGGCCGATATTTTCGTTCCGTTCGGCTCCAGACTAGATGTTAGACAAATAAAGCGTTGCAAATGGCCATTTGACCTGTGCTTCAAAGTGTTCTGCCCAACATTTTAGCCAATTACCCTAGGAGGTTATCAGCGTTCCGTTTTCTCCCTGCCCGTACCCTTGATAAGGCTAAATAGTTCCCGTGTTACGCAACATTGGTGTCTTCTTCATCCCTCTTGCTTTCCGTACGCACACCTGGTCACGGTAGATGCGAAGACTTACTCAGTTTGCGTCTAAGTTGGTCTGGCACTTCATTGTAGTCAGTCAGCTAGAATAGGTCTTCTCGTATCAACCAGTTCGGAAGACGTGACCGAATTTCAATGACGTAGCAACTTTTGATCGGGATGGGCTCTATGCTGCTCGGTTATTCATTATTTTGGTTAGTGGTGGAATTCAGAACGCCCATTTATTCCTATTTAGGACTCGTTGACTGGATATGCCTACATACCAGTGGAAGTGATGTCGTTCCCACTGGGACTCGAACTCAGAAACTATCGCTTTAAGTGCCAGAGGGTTAAACACTATGGCACGAAAGCCACTTCTTGTGTAACGGGTATTAATTACAGCTAGTCATTATGAATGAGTGAGGACAATACCATTCACAGGTGTACGAGTAGAAAATATAAGAAGAAACGCTTGTCCTGGATTCCACGCTGCAAGCACTTTGTGCCTATATCAACTAGGTTGATGCAGACGAAAAAACCCTGCACTCATTCGATATATACACATCAGCTTTGTTGCATGACACGTAAAAGAATTATCATTTGAGTATCTGAGACCAGTACTTATACCAGTTGATGATTGAAGGAGTGGTGCAAATCTGGACTGCGGCCGGATTCGAATCAGCGACAACCGGGTTACCGGCCCGGTGCTCTACCAACTCAGATAGTCAAATGATAATCAATATGATGCCCCGCCACTGTGATTCAGTTAGGTTTGGATTAGGATGAGAAGTCCTGACTGAGCAGTCAGTGTGAATACAAACAAGCGGTAGTAACGCGTCACGAATTCACATAGTAGTTGGGAAAAACCCTTGGTGACTGCAGTGAAATAAAAATCCGGTCAGCAGTCGGATCTCGTAGCTAAGTTGGTAGAGCACCAGACCGGTAGCTCGATGGTTCGAATCCAGCCGCGGTCCAGACTTTCATTACACCTTCAATCATCACCCAGTATACATAACAGAATATTAAGTTAATTATTAGTCAGTGAGAATTAAAAAATATATCACAATATATGAAGAAGAAATACATACATATCAATCAACAAATTCAAGTCTCCGATGTAAACAAATTGAATGGAGAAGAAAAAAAAGTACAAAACACACAGATATGAGATTGTACAAATTCAAACAAAACAAAACGATAATATTATCAGCAGGAAGTACTTTCTCTTTGTTGAAAAAAGAAAAGGAAAATATCAGTAAATCATAAAGAAACGACAACGAAAGAAAAAAAAAAACTTCACTTGAAAACAAAGTGAGAGAGGACATATTGAATATATGTATACATGTTTAAGCTAAACAACCAGTACATGATTGGGAAATGTGTACATACGACGATGATGTCTTCTACTTCTTCAATAACAACCAGTACAAAGAAGTATGATTGAATACATTCATTTAAAATTAATGCCTTTACACATTAAAATGCAGAGGATAAAACCTATCCTTGAAATACAATCAAACCTATACACACAGATATAAAGAGAAACAAGAACTACACGAAGTTGGTTCGAATCCTATCGAAATGTAGATTTTCAATTACCATATCCTAATAGAAGAATTGTACAGATGAGAATGGGAAGATGATGGAACAAAAAAAAACAACCCAACAAGTTGAAATAATCAAATTAAAATATTCATATGCATAAATTAAATCACATTCAAAGAAGAATCTAATGAACTATAGAACATTGTCAATTCGCCTAATATATATATATATATATATATATATATATATATATATATATATATATATATATATATATAACAAAGAAGTGAAGAGTAGGTATTGAAATAAGATGGAAGTTCTTTTGTCTTTAACAAAGGAAATATACACAAGTTTAGTTGCGATGATAGAGGATAGGGGGTAGAATTGAGGGATCACAAGTTAGTCTATGAAATCTCATCTTTAAGAAAAAACAAACTAAAGTGATTTATTGATTGAAATATATAAAGAAGAGGTGAGTGTACTGATCAAATTGAGGTGATGACAATTTCTGATGCACAGCAACTACTACTACTACTACTAGTAGTTGTAGTAATGGTACGAGTTGTCGGTTTATTCTTCTCTTGTTTCCATGAACATTCAGGATCATACGGTGAATGTACAATAACTTGAATAATAAAATCTTTCGGTATATAACATTCTTTAACTTGTAGTTTATTTGATAATAAACGACCATATACATACCAACGTTGTCTTAATTCATGCCAACCACAAATTGATGCATATAAACATTTTGCTTGTAAAATTGTCATTTTCTCATCAATTATCTTTAATTTATGTTGTTCACCAGTAGATAATCTTAAATTAAGATGACTAATTGGTGATGATGATGATGATGATGAAAATAATGATAATGAATTAGGATTAATTGACTCTTTTTTATCAGATAATGATGGATTACCTTCACATCGATAAGGATTAAAATTCCATTGAAACCAATTCGTTGTATGTCGATTTATATTTCTTCTATTTCTATGACAGATTGTATTGAATAGAGATAAACATCCACATATATCATTACTTGATGTATGATTATCATCATTATTAGTATTAGTATTATTATTATTATTATTAGAATTATAAACATATTGGTGATGGGAATGTGTCCTTGAAATCCCACTACTATTACTTTCAGCACCACCATCATTTGTATAATGTATGGTATTAGAATTCCGTAGAACAATAGGAGATGCATTATTCTGTTGTTGTGAATGTACACTTTGTGTATCAGATGTAGAATGATCCGGTAAAAGATTACTTGGTTGACTTAGTACATATAGTGGGAGTTGATAACGTGCACCAAGTTCATCATAACAATCACACAATGTTCCTGAGTTGAATACAAAAAGAAAAAATTAAGAAAAAGTACACTTTATTTGTTCATTTGATGTCTATGAATATACAAGTCTTGAGAATCTCTTAACCACACAGTATATACATGATGAACGAACAGTGGAACACTTCGGTTGACCTTCAGTTACCCAGCATCCAGTCATATCATAAATTAAACACTGAATTGAGAGAGCTGTGAGTAACATGAAAGGAGTGGGGACGAAAGGGTCAAGTAGGTCAGTACTTGAGTTATTTACAAATGGTCCTTGTGAGTGATTGGTCAAATTAAGTAGATTTTTAGACAGAGTATTAAATATGATCCCCTTTTACTAGTTCTAATTACTAATCGTCCTAATCTTCAACAAAGGGATGAAATCCTCTTGTGATAACCATATGAGAATTAGTCTACTGAACATAACGTTTCTAGGTTCTATAATTATCAGATATCTGAATGGGGCTGGGGAAAAGTAAGTCCGAGTAAGCCAGACAGAATTCACTAATGGTCGTGGAGGTATTCACCAGATATTCACACTCTTCCATGTTCTGCAACACAGGCAAATTTACCCACGCCTGACTATAGATGTATTTCTTGACTATAAGATGCATTCGAATCCGTCGGTCAAGATCTTTTATGACCGTCTCGCTGAAAAGGGTGACCCGAAAGTATATCACTCTGTTGAAAGCTCTCTACTCGTGGGTGTATCAGAGTCTATGATGAGTTGCGTATGTCAGGTAGTGTCCGTCAGGGATGTCCACTCTCTACATTACTACTCAACTTCACAGGCCTTGATCTTGTCACAGGAGAATCTTCATTAGATTTACAGTATGCAGGTGACATAGGTTAAGATGCTAATAAAATGTAGTCTTCTGAATATCTTGAGTGATAATATGGGGATGTTTAGCATGGCCTTCTCATCACCCAAATTTGAATTGTTACTCCGGGACTGGTGTTTGTTATTGACCCCCTTAACAGTAGGGAGAAAAGTGGTTAAGTGTGCTGACCACTTCACTTAACTTGATGTTTCAGTAACCATCAAATTCTCTGCACAGATACAAAGGTCTAGATCGTTCTTTCTAAAATGACACAATTTATGGGATCATTATGGTGTGATTACCTACTGAAGCTCGAATAAACTGCACTGTAATTCACTTCCTTCTACTATGTGGCTGTCAAGCGTAATCATTAAAGTTAGAGGACATGAAAAGGCCTCAGGTGCTCAACCACTCTTGCTTTTGTGGCGTAGGCTGTGTTATGGTCTTATCACGTCAGTAACGCAGAATTCAAGTTTAGAATATTAGATAAAACAGGTAAGTCACTTGGTGAGGCTGTGAGCCTTCATCGAATCAGGTGACTGGGACATTTATTACATATGCCGTCACCGTTTACCACCCCCTCCCTTCTCATAATGTTAGCTGGATTAAGTTCAGGGAGGAAAAACATTAGAAGCGATCAGACTAAAATATGACATCAACCCATGAAGTCTTTGACTGTTGATCTGAGCCATGTAGGGAAATGTACGCCTCTCGGTTGGGGTCCGTGTGACAACAGAAACCAGCAGTTGGAGACTAGGTGATATGGCTCAGAATGTATCTCAATGACGCGGTCTTATCCATGGACGATCTTCATTTTAATCGTTATACTCGATTTCAGTAGTTGCATTCCCCCTAGCTCTTTCTTTGACGACATTCTATCACTTTTTATCATTTTTTAACCTTTCATGTTAGTGCCTTCTTACTTGATGTGCTCGTGTATAAGACGTAGCAGCGTGGATCGTTACGCAATAATCTCTGGTCCCATATTGATACTGTCTATCTGTATACATGACACTACACATTGTGTACCACATAGTGAACTATAAAATCACCAGACAGCATGTTTTCTATAGAGCATAACTGCTCATTTATACGGTCACTAGTATTCAGGCGAAAACAGATAATGAAAAACGAACTACAAACTAAATGATACTGAATATTAGCTAGGATACGCAATTGAGATAGAATAGAGTTGATCTGAACATATTTCAACTTTATATGCAGAGATGATGAGGTGTGAACTTCATCAGCTGAGAATACTTTTAAACTAGCCTATTGTTGACAAAATCCTAATCAATAGCTATTGTCAAACATCTTTGGTGCGCATAATGAAACTGAATTCTTGCTTAGACAATAATAGTAGGAGTAAATCCCTCTTAGTTGCATTGTGTTTTCTGAGCTGGGTTGTTTAATCGTGAAGCTTTCATCGTCTTCCTAGACAACATGATCAGCACTAACCTCAATATGAAGTGTACTGTCAATATCTCTTCGTGAGTGATTTAATAGTTTGCCTTGACGAATTGGTCTGTGATTGGTTGTTTCCTTCGATTGTTGTGTCACTGATTGTATAGATTTTCCTGTTGGCTGTTCCTCTGCTTCACCTCTGACCTCTCTGTCATTTATCATCTTTCTTATTGCTTGATAGATTGGGTCTATGTCTATACATCTGTTGATTGCTGACTGATTGACCTGAATGTCAGGCTCCTAGGAATTCTCTGATATTCTTTGTATTTCCTCTCTCCGTCAGAGATTTCTACATTGTCGAAATTGAATTCATCTCCATAAACGTTATTCACGTGGATTGAGCGGCGAGTGATGAAATGTCGGGTGTGACGTTTAATAGTCAATTGGTGTTCATGTAGACGAAGGTGAAGAGGGTGACCATTTTGTCCAATTTAGTGTTAACTACAGTTATTGCAGTTGATTTTGTAAATGATATTCGGTTTGTCTTCTTTGCTTGTTGCATTCTTTGGTCTGCATAATAGTATTTGGAGGGAACTTATTGGTTTATGAGCCACACCAATTCGAAGTGGTCACAGTAATCTTATCGTGATTTCTGATATATTCTCTACCTACAGTAGGATGATGCGCTTTTTGATTTCTGTCGATGACTTTGTAGTTGATGATGCACACGATAGGCATCTTCTGATAAAGCTTCGTGGGTAGCCATTCTTCTTTAGGATGGACATCAAGTAATTTTCTTCGTTTCTCCGTGGAGTTGTTGTACTGCAGTGTGTTCTCGCTCTTCTGAACAGAGTCTGCACGTAACCGATCTTGTAGATTGTTGCTACTGTAGTTGAGGATTTGATCAGTGCGTGTTGGCTTCCTGTACACTTGGGTTTTCAGCTTCACGATTGAACAGCCCAGCTCAGAGAACACAATACAACCAAGACCATCCATCTGAGTAAATCCCTTTACAACTTAGTACTTTAATGTGGATCAGTTTCTCTTTCCCTGTAAATATTCCAGACAACACAATTAATGAATTAAAGTAGAATACAATAATTCAACAAATATCCTGAGTGAGATGTTGTTCCACGCCAGAAATCACTTTCACCGAACTTGTATGCAGCTACTTGAAGTATATCTAGAATGTAATTAGTGAATTAGTCATTAAAACTTCTCAAAAATAAAAACCAACAATCAAATATCTACCTGATGGGAGAGTAATACATGCACCGTCTAATATTGCCTGAGCCATATCATAATCCTGTTTTTGACAGAAATCTGCTACGACTTTTAATGCATTCCAAATCTCAATTCTTCCTTCGAATGCTGGAGCTGTATCCCAGAATTCATCTCTTTTCTTTTGTAACTGGCTTACTGAAATAGGAAACGTGCTACGCCAACGTGGGGAAGATCTCTTTAATGGTCTATTCTTACCTAAACGATAAAATAAAAGAGTGTGAAATACGAGGAAAAAAAGGTTAAATAAACATCAGTTAGCAACTTGTTGTAATGGGAAACATTCTTATAGAATGTACGTCGAAAATAATGGCTGCTGTCATACTTCACAGACTTTGTAAAACGCATCAGAAAGTGATTCGTGAGGAGCAGGCCAGGTTTCGCTTAGGTCTTGGATGCCTTGATCATAATACTTACCCTCCCCCAGAAACCTGAACAACGTGACGTATCACAGGTCAACAACAGTTGTGTTTTTTGATACTAGGGCTGCTTTTAATTCCTTGAACACAGCTGTACTCAAGAATTGTCTTTCAGAGAGGGGTATGTTTGAGAAATTTATTAACATCTTGAAAGTCCTATATAATAACATCTCAAGTAGGGTGAGGGCACACAACCACCTATCTCCATTGTTCCAAACAAGCAGTAGGGTTACGCAGGGTTGCCAGATCTATCCATTCCTCTTTAACTTTGCCATCAATGACATTCTTGAAACAGCTTTGAAGGAAGTGCGTAATTGTGATATAGATCTGTGCAATAACACAGGCTACTCAAATCGAACTTAACCAGTTGGCGATTAGTGTCCGTGAGTGCTTTGGACCTCCGAATTGCAAAACAGTTTTGCAAGAGCCTGTGTCTGGGCTCACCCTTAGAAGTAGTCGAAAAGTCCGTGTACCTGGATAGTCGTGTGAGTGCTGGTGGAGGTGTGAGTGAGGAAATTTCTAACCACGTATCGAAAGCCTGAGAGCCGTATGCCAATCTCGGCTACCTTTTGCTCTACACCTTGGAAACCTTACCTGTCCGAACTGAGGATATACATCTCTGTGTTTGATCATCGTTGTCTCCGTAAGATTCCTCGTGTCTGGTGGCAACAGTATGCAAGTAGTTCTGAGGTACGAAAGCGTGTGTTTGGGATTGATTGAGATCGTCATTCAAATAAGTGAAGTCATCTAAAAACATCGGCTTCGGTGGTTTGGACATATGTAGCTGTAGCTTTTAGTCCGTTCATTGTTTGCTAACCTTCGGAGTGGATGGAAGAAGCGAAGAAGTGGTCAGTGTATGACGTGGCACCACGAGGTGAGGGATAGTCGTATTGCGTTAGCATCTGTTGTTGCATCACGACACCCTAGTTGGGGTCCGAGAGATAACGCAACTCAGTGGCTTGAGACGTTATCAGGTATGGCTAAGAATCGAAACCAGTGTCAGCCATGCTGTGTAGCTTCCTTTTATCTTCTGTTGCTCAAAAGTAATGAATGTTTTGTTCTGAATGTATCTTACTGGAATTCCCTTCTAATCATTTTATTTTTATTGAATTTTTCTAGTAGTAATAGTAATAATAATGTAATGATTTAGAATGTCCCAAAGTATGAAAACATAGTTTAAATTTGTCTAACAAGACTGACAAGGTTATGAACTTAAGTCGATTGAGGTGGCTTGGGCATGCACTGGATGTGCTAAATCAACCAACTACCTGGGAGCGCCGTGACGAGGAAGTTGGATTAGGTTGGAAGAGGGTTCAGGGTGGCCATACCAAGACGTGGCACCAATGCATGACATCCTTGACTGTTGATCTAAATTACCGACAATTATGTATTAGATTTTTTATTTGATACACCACACAGTGATGTGGTATTATTTACTGAATGACCTTTCAAAGTGACTTTCATATAAATATGAAAAACGTGAGAAATCCTGCTAAAAAAACGTCATCCAGTAAATAATGCTGTATAACTACATCCTGGTCATATCAAATAAGCAATCTATGTGGAATCATACTCTGCCAGTGCCCAAGTTTTACTCTTACACGAATTACAAATAATCTGGTTGTTTTAAATCATCCTAATGACTACCTCATGAATGTCACGAGAGATACTATATCATGCCAAACATTCTCAAATTCCCACTCAAAGTGTTCAGAAGACTCCGCATCTTGTCACCGTCTTAACCTAACACGACAATGTCAGCTGCATATTCTAGATATAACGAAAATTCTTCACCGATTAGAGAAACCTCCATAAGAATATCTATGATAAAATTGAATGAGAATGGAGACAGTGGGCACCCTTGACAGACACCACTCAATGAGCACAGCTCCCTGGACATCTCACAATAGGCTCTAACATGCCCAAAAGTATCCAAATAGAGAGCCTTCAATAAGGTGATGTACTTACTAGCACGCCTTTCAGTGAGAGACATTGCCATAAGACGTCTCGACCAACGGAGTCAGATGCCGCCTTCAGGTCGAGAAATACAGTTAGTATCGGGTGTCGGTAAGCGTGTCTATGTCGCAGGACCTGGCACAGTGTGAATATTTGGTCGGTACACCCACGGCCGGGTCTAAATCCTGCCTGGATTTCTCGGGCTTGCTGTTCCTGAGCTCCACTCAGATGTCGAAGAATTATAGAACCTAGGATCTTGGACACTATGCTCGTCAGGCTGATTCCTCTGTGGTTATCACAAGAGGACTTCTCGCCTTTCTTGAAGATTGGGATAATCAGTGACTTAGACCAGTCAGAGGGGATCACATTTGATTCCAATATACTGATTAACACTTCCGTTAACCTGACTAAAAGCACCTAACCACCATCCTCGTATACCTCAGCAGGTAGTTCATCTGATCCTGCCGCCCTTCCTCGTTCCAGGTTACCTACAACCTTCTCGACTTCTGCTAGTATTGAGGGCCTACCTCAATGTTCCATTCACGATCCGACTGGATAGCGGACAACGCAATGGTGGCTGGAGGCCAGTTAAACTGCTCCTAGAAGTGTTCTGCCCATCGTTTCAGCCACCTCCTCTGCAAGTGGATCTCCGGTAAAGCCTCACTAACTGTTGTTGACCCTTTCCCCCCAGTTTCCTTAATAAGTCTTAGTAACTGTCTACTGTTACCGATCGCCACTGCCTTTTCCATTTCTTTAGCCTTCGCACCCCACCACCATTCGACGTCGTTGACTAAACTTTTTCTCAATCTACTTTTTAGTTGCGCTCTCTCTTCATTGTACTCAGAGCCTGCAGGAATGCGTTTACATGCATCCATTAGTTCAAAAGAAGCTGCTGATATCCACTGGCTCTTTTTAGCCACTATTTTGGAATCAGTTACAGTCTTCAGCGCTGCTTTTACGGCAGACTGGAGATGGCACCAAGCTTCTTCTGGATGAGTGGTAGTCTTCAGTTCCGATAACTGCCCAGCCAACTTCTCACTGAACACGGTTTTGGTGTTTTCCTTGTTCAGCAGCACTAGTAGTGGTTTTGTCGCCATATTTTTCTTATATCCATTGAAACGCAAGCATATACGCACTCTGACCAACGCATGGTCGCTATCCAAACACATACTCTAGAAGGAACGGCAGTATTCCACTGATCCTCTCCACCGATGACTAGTAGCAATCTGGTCTATCTGTGTCCATCGCTGAGTTGGACGCCACGTCAGACAGTGTCTTTCTTTATGTCTGAAATTTGTGCTAACTAAAATATAGGCGGTTATCTGAGCATAGTTGTAGTAGGTGATCACCGTTATCTGAACGTTCGGTCAGGATTCCGAAAGTGCCACCTAAGTGCCTTTCTGCTTCACTCAGTCTACCCACCTGTGCAGTGAAGTCACCTGCAACAACCACCACGTCCGAACGTTTGACTTTCGAGAGGAGGCTAGATAATTTACGGTAGAACTCGTCCTTCACTTCATCCGGACTGCAGTCAGTGGTTGTGTAAGCAGAGATTACAAAAAGACAATGGCGAGTCTCACTATTGCTTTTACTTCTCACTGTGCCGTTCAGTCTCATAGCACAGAGGCGACTATTAACTGAGATCCAGTCTAGAAGTGAGTTTTCTGCCCTGGTGCTTAATGCTATGCCTACACCCGGAAGACCATGAGAGCTAGCCATCGAATCTCCAGAAACTCGAAGGGTGAATCTTGAAGATTCACCAGACTGACCGGAAGAAGCCAGGTGAATAATCGCACTTGGGTCCTGTGTGCGTGTCTCACAAACACAACACACGTCCAAGCCCCGAGTTGCTACAGTCTGACAATGAAGCCTGTTGACCAATTTGACGGGGGGTGCGGACATTGAAGGCCCCAATATGTAATTTAGAGAGTGGTTTAAGGAGACCAAGGATGCTGTTCTGTGGACTCAGATCGTTGTCGAAGGCTGCCGAGCTAGGAGAAATTGAAGATGATGTAGTATCGTTAGTTGAGAGACGTGAAGGAAGATTAGAAGGTAATGATGGGAGAGGTGGATAGCAGTCTGAGGAAACTTGAGTGCTGACCGAGTTGTGAGGGCGGTAGACACTTCCTGGCTGCCCACACCGTGGAAGGCTATTTTTTCTTAAGATACCTGAAAGAGATTTGTGTGACCATAGAGTCAATCGGACATCTGCTTGAGGTCTGTCACACGCAGCATTTTGTACATGATTACTTTGATTTTTTGTTGTTTTGGGGTCGGATGGTCGAAAAGAAACTACAAATGAACCAACACCGCTAGCCCGGTAGACCGTGGAGCATGGTGGAGTGTGTTATTTTTTGGGCCGACCTTTTCTAACCCCTCCCCCCTTCCACTGATAAGGCAGCATCAGCAGAGCACTTCTGGTCATCCAAGGGAAACACCTTACTGCTGTCACACCCCATCCAACTAGCGGCAGTACGACTTCACCCTCAGACCCTCATCATAGTGTAGTAATTTACACCACAATGGTAACTGCTTTTCGTCTAACCACTATCCAACAGACGTTTCTGGTATGGTAGGACCACGACGGAACAAGTGTTCCCACCGATATAGCTGGTTGGGTCATTGTGATGTGCAATCCCGACCACCACGTCAAGGTAGCAGCTATCGGTCGGGACTATGTACACGATGTTCTTAAAGTGAGAAGCATTATGACACTCATCGATGCCTATTAGTTGTCGCCGCATTCGTTCCCACCTACTCTAGTTCGGATGATACAAAGGGTGACTGCAATAAATAACCGTTAATCCTGCTATAATAAAGCAAAATGCTCAGATATGGTTACACTAGTAGTTGACCTTAACGCTCAAGTAGGACAGCTGAATCAATCGAAAAGTTTTCTTGGAGGTATCAACAGTATTGCATGTCAACGAATCGAAAACAGCGATCATCTCTTACAGTCCTATCTTTGTAATCATTCATTTCTGGTCAGCACTAACATTAGACATAGGTACAAACACTGTTTCTCTTGGAATTCACTAACACCGAACCAACAGCGGGCACACGCAGATCTTATTGGTGTAAGTTATCATGGAAAAGGAGGTAAAGGATTACTGTTTCCTCTGGAATATGCCCTTGGAAAGGGAACGTGTGTTTGCGCCACGCTGGGTGTTAGAAACATACAGTATTGAAGCTTTTGTGTAATCGACTAAAGAGATGGCTAAACGCTTATATTAGCACGTAGTAATTACCTTTTCGATAAAAACCAGCGCAACATTCAGTCTGTTGTAGAAACAGTGGTGAGGAACGTTGGTAACCTACATCCAAAGGTTAGTAAAACCCAGTAGATTTCCACGGCCTCACCAAACTGACCGATGAAAGACTCACTCTATCTAGCTCTGACCACAATCAGAGGGTGAAAGCACATCAAACGTTAGGTGACTAAGGGTTTTCGAAATGATCGTAAGCAGTGGCAGGTAGTGAAAGCGAAAGGGAGGTTGAAGGCATGAGCATAAGGTAATACTTAATACTCATCTAGGTTTACTAAGGATACTGCTAAGAAAACGATGGTCTGCGAGATCATCAACAAAAAGATTCGTCCATGATTTCACTTCATGACAAGCAGTTATAACATTGGGTGAAACACTTTGAAGCGTAGTTCAATAAGTCTACGGTCATGCTTCCCTTGGCCCGAATTCAGCCCAAACCTTAAAAGGAGACAGGTGTCGGTCTTACAGTTCTTGAAGTTAGTAAGGCTGTTTCAAACCTAAAACGATGCAAAGCAACAGGGCTTGTTTGACACCAGAAGCTTTAAAGAATGGAAGCAAAAAAAGTACTGAGTAGAGTAACGGAGGTACTAAGCTGTTTACGGAAGTCGGAGTTTCATCAGATTAGTCTAGATTGCCAATTATTCCAGTCTAAGAATGAAGTCGCTCTACTAAGACCATAGAGTGATCAGTTTAATTAACTTCATGTCCAAGATCCTAGGATCCATATTTATACGACGTGTGTATGCAGCTAAAGAAAGAGGCAGGTTTTAGACCTGAAAAATAGTGCATTAATAAGATTCTCACCTCTCGAAAGGTTATGGAACAAGCCTACTAACTGGCAGCAGTTGTATTTTGTGACCTGAAGGCAGGATTCAACTCTATCAACTGAGAACTATTGTGGGAGTGTCTGACTGTGAAGAGAGTACCTAACTAGCATGTAGCTGTTACGGCTTATGGGGACTTGTCATCTACACTGACGACACCCAAAGGTGTCCACCAGAGAATCTCACTGTCAACGTTCCTGTTTAACTTCGTTAAAGATGCATCAATAGGAAAAACCTTAGTTAACTCTGGCTTCACAGGGATTGAACAACTTCCTAGAAGGCAACTGGGTGACTTGTAGTACGCAGATGACACTGTTCTGGCACACGAAGACATCAACAAAATGCTGACTTCTGAACATCTTGAGCCAAAATCTGAGTATGTTTAGAATGCATTTTGTACATACAAAATTATGCTTCAGGGTTGATCGTAAGCTACTGTCAAATAAACGAAAGGGAGCGAGGCATTTACTTTGCTCACTAGGAATGCCGCATCAGCCCAAATGGGTTACTTGCTGACGAAATCTCAGCAGGTATTCATAAGTCACGTTTGGTGTATGCTAAGTTACTTGACCTCTGATACCAGCGGGATATCCGGATACCTGTAGAGGATGAGTATACTGCGCTGAAGTCCTTTCTGTCTTACTACACGACTGAGATTTAGACGGAAAAAGAATGTGAAGAGGCTACAGGTATCTTTGCAGAATTGTTCATGCACGGTGGAATCACCGTGTGAGCAATTTCAACGTTAGTAGTAGACAAGAAAGGCGTCAGTCGATGAGGATGTGAACTGTGACCGTCTAGAGTGGCTAGGGTAAGTGTTGGGGATGCTGAGCCACAAACTATTTCCACATTCAGTGTTAACTGAAATAAGATTGGGTTGGAAGGCTCGTGACGTAAATCTACGGACTGTTGGTCTGAGCCATGTCAAAAGATATGAACTGCATGTTTAGATGCTAAAAAAGATACTCAACGAAAGATGTTGATGCTGAAAATGTGCGAAATACATCCACGAAGGAAGCCCAGTGAAATAAAAAAGCCAAAATAATGACAACGAATGCGCATTCAGTGCGCCTACATTTAATTATCCAGTACTGTGCACGATTATAACGTTTCTTAAAATTTTGATTATGGGAGATAGCCGTCGTTCGGCAGACTAGTATTGATACTGGGTGGTGATTGAAGGTGAAACGAAAATTTAGACCGCGGCAGGATTCGAAGTGGTAACAACAGTTTATGCTGAAAAAGTTTTCCAACACAATTAAGTCACATCTAATGACAGATTGGTTTTTAAAATTACATCTTCGCAATTTATTTTCGCTACACCGATAAGATTTGGTCAATGTCCTACACTTCTTCAGGCCAGCTTAAAAAAAAAGTGGTTTTAAATGTGAAATACAAAGGTAGAGGCAAAAGCATAGAAATGCAAGTCACATACGGTTTTGCGAATTTCCATCTGAACACTTTGGCATCGCATTGAAAAGCCAAAAGACTAAACCAACAAGGTCAGCTGTAGTACAAACATTTGCGCGTTTATAAAATACTAAGTCAAACAAGAATTTTTTTCCGCAACACTTATGTGCCAGCATACAATATTTGTGTTGAAATCAAACATGACTGCAACTGTAGAAAGAAAATTAGCAAACGTACTAGTGCCGCTACATTGAAACTAAAACTCTACAAATAATGTAATGTTTACACTAAACGTTTCGTTCACTCTAAATGATTAACTACGTAATTCATCATAACTAAACATTATGGATACTAATAGCATGGAAAAGTAAGTGTAAACTGCTTGATATTCATCTCTGAACGTAATATCTTAGACTGGTTTTGACGAATATATTAATAATTAGTATATAGTTCTAGAATACTACTGACGTGGCTACTTTGTTCATAAAATTTAAAAGGAACGTTTTTCGAATTGTCTTTAATCGTTTGGTGATTCATAACCTATTTTGCAGTAATCATCTTTGCGATATTACTCAGTTAACAGTTTCTCATTTGTCTGCATTCAACGCTTCGCATCATCATTGAACAGAGTAAAGAATGACAGTCAACTTTCTACCTCAACTTCATCGACTTTGAAAAGGCCTTTGACAGCGTCGACCGAGAGGTAATTTGGAAACTGCTTCAATACTACGGAATACCGCAAACCTTTGTCAACCTCATTCAACAACTATATTAAGACGCCACATGCCAAGTAATTCACAATGGGAAGCTCAGTGATGCCTTTCAAGTGAAGACAGGAGTAAAACAAGACTGTCTACTATCACCCATGGTATTCCTGATTGTAGTGGACTGGATCATGCAGCAAACAGTGGGGAGCGATAAGAGGGGGATACGCAGGCTGGACTGAAGAAAATAACCTAGATCTGGATTTTGCCGATGACTTGTGCCTGATGTCACACAAACTTGAAAATCTACAGGCGAAAACTAACAAGTTGACAGAAAAGGCAAGGCAGCGAAGACGGGACTTCAGGTGAATATAGAGAAGAGAGAAGTGATGAAGATACCGCACCAACAACAACAACAACAAACTCCAGTCACCATGAAGGGGAGAAACTTAAAGGAAGTAGGCTCTTTAAACTATCTAGACAGCACCGTTTCAACCACTAGCGGCACACGAACAGATATGGACGCCAAAGCTACGATCGGAAACACACCAAGACAGGCTTTCATTAACCTGAAACCAGTGTGCACATCTACTGCACTCCACTCAGCAGAAAGCCTTAACAACATCCAGATTTTCAACACCAATTCAGTCAAGTCAGTGCTTCCATGTGATGGTTCAGAGACTTGGCGCGTTACAAAAGGCATTCCCAACAAAACTACAGACATTCATCAACAACTACCTACGCTGGCTCGTTACCCAAGCTCAGATCAGATGGCCAGAATAATAAGAATAAGCAACAAGGTACTCTGACCACACAACGAACCAACCAACACAACCTACCACTCAACAAATACTCAGAAGGAAGTGGAGATGGATTGGATTGGGCATGCACTGTGAAGGCGGACTGGGGACATCACGCATCAGGCCAGTCCCTCGAGTGGAACACCGATGGAAAGCGACGAGTTGGACGTCTTAGGTGAGGGTGACATGGAGGAGATCGTGCGAGGAAGAAATGAGAGCTTGTGGGCAGTCGTGGCGCCAGGTTGAAAATATTTCAGAGGACAGAGTGCACTGGAGACGTGCTAGTGAAGCCCTATGTTCCATTAGGAACCCAAGGGACTAATAATTATAATTTGTCTACATTTACCTTATGATCGTAACTGGAAGCTGCCAGGGGATTTATCTTGAATTATCAAGGTATCTTGTTTGTTGTTTTGAATGGCGAATATCATCTCATTCAAGATCCATTTAAGACAGGTGCAATACTAATTTTGGAACATTCAAGCTTGCTTCTTACCGTTTTGTTTTGTTACATGAAAACATGCTACCATAGAAATACCAGATAATACTAGCTCGTTCTGTGTCCAAGTTTATAGACCGAAGGAAAGGCCAAGAAAGGAACACCAACCAGTTTAATGCCGGTTAAACCTACGATCGAAATTATTCTAATTAAATTTGACACTTACATCATTTTCGAAACACTGAAAAGAATAACTATTGGTATTAACTTGTTAGTCTGCTCCTTAATAAGTTGATTTTATAACCTGTACGGTTTAAATTTTATCAGAATTTAACCCAGCAACTAATTAGTTGCTGTAATGAAGCAAATAAAAATAGATTATTCCAGCTTTAGCGATAAGGTGTTTTCGGAAGTAATTTATCTCTAAAAACTTTTTGCTGTTGTAAAGCGACAATGAAGTTTTCAGTAGTGGAGTATATAAGACTCACGAATCATAGTATACATCTATGAATTGCCTATCCTTCATGGAAAATATGTTGCAGTCAGTCACTGCATGCCTACTTGGTTGGAACTGTTTTTTCATGATCCACGTTCTCTCTCTTTCCAGCTATGATGGGTTTTAAATCAAACAGCTCTCCATGTTTTGCTCGTGTTTTTCCCTTCTGAAAAAATGTCACATTTCGTCCACATCAATTCTTTCCAGAAATTCAGTTCTTCGTAATGTAGGCTTAACGTAAACGAAGAAACACATCATTTACTCAGTCGTGTCAATATGACTAAAATGATAGCGCTATTCATTCGATTGTTTCTAGGTACAGCTGCTCCGTTCTTACATTCCTGACGTCGTTTTATTCCGTGCTCCATGATCACTTCTAAAGTCACCAGTTGCGTTTGGATAATAAATGCACGCCTAGTTGCATTATGTACCCTGTTTTATAATCAGAAATGTTGTGACACTGTTAAATATGCTTCATATATGTGTATAAAGCAATGGACTTCTCATGCGTAGCTGGATCTCAGTTATCAAATCCCTATCAGAACCCTTGTAAGTATCCAGATTTAACAAACTTTCAACTTAATTCATTGGTTCATAATCAGTGGTAGATGTATAACGATGATAAAACGTCATAAAACTCAAAAAGAGGGAAAACCGTCTTATAACAACAAAGGAATTGGGTTGACCATCGCAGTTTATAAGGGTTTAGGATCATTCAATATTTAATAGATGCTCAGAGTGGGTTTGAGGGAGTTAGGTGGACGTGCCATTAGCATAAATTAGTCTTCGACCTTTTCTCATCTTGGGACACAAACTTTGTTACCGACACCTGACACTAGTTATACATTTTAATATAAGGGTAGAGATTGACTCGACTAATCCAGAGATCTCACACGACGTTCCTACTGAAAAATGTATGTGGCCAGCAAATTCTCACATGTGTTTGTTATTTAGACACCTATGATCATACTAAAAACTTACTAGGTTTTTGTTTTAATATTTAGGATAATAAAATCTTATCTCAGGAGACTCCTCAATAAACCTAGATTACACAGGCAATATAGTCATGTTAGACAAAGAATGACAAGATCTCATTGCAGATTCGATTATCTTTCTATGAATATGCAACGTATGGGACACGCGAGATATCTTGTTATCTATTCAGGATCGAATTTGCTGTACAGTAGTTCGCTTTATTCTACTGCACGGCAGTGAAACACACCAATTAAAGGTGGAGACCAGAAGGCTTCAGGTGTTCAACCACCGTTGCCTTCTTGACACTAGCCACTAGTCATGGGACTACTCTGTCATTACTGTTAGTAATGGGTGTTGTCTTAGTTGGAACAAGACAGGCAGTTGATGAGGTTGTGAGCTTTCATCGAGTCAGGTGGCTGAGCTTGTGTTACGCATGCTTAGTCACCGTCCGCCACGTTGCACAGTATTAGCTCAAGTTGGTCTAGGTTCGAAAAATACTGATCAAACGGAAACGTGGCACAAGTCCATGAAGTCTTCGATTGTTGGTTTAGGCAGTATAGGGAGGTATAAACTTCCCAGTTACAGTCCGAGTAACGATGCAAATCGATGGTTGAAAACTAAGTGATATGCCTGGCAATCGATGTCAGTGGCGCGAAAGGTTTCATGCGTTATCTTCATCCTAATTTTCTCATCACATCTCGTTATTGTTCTACTCCTCTCTTTCTACAACCCTTGATTCGATTTTTCTCATATCTCTATCTTTTGTCTTAGTAACATGTATCTTAATGTAACTGTATGAGGCATGATGACAGTGTTAGCCATCTTGCAATATTGGAAGGTCATATGTAGATATTGGCTGACTGGATGTACGTCTTCCTCCAAGTGGGCACATGCAGACTTTGCACCTGTTTGTTCTATACCATCATTGAGGTCAAGACACACTTGATGGGACTTACGCATAATCGTAAACAGAGCAGTTACTCCAAAAAAGCGCTACAATTATCTGTTGGTCTATTTAAGAGATGACATAGCTAAATAATCCTTGTCCACCACTAGCTTGATATTGGCAGACATCAATGGAAAAATATCTCTTCTCAAGCTTAAAATGGAATCAATTGACTCTGAAAACAAAAATTTAAGGTATGGTCATATTTTGTCTATCGATACGGGACTTCGCCGTTGAATCTTCATCGATTAAGATGGCTTGGAAATGTCATGCGCACGCCGATCCAACGCCTACGTCGATGTGCCTTACTGAAAGAAGTTGGATTAGGTTGGAAGAGGGTTCAGAGTAGCCACACCAAGACGTGGCACCAATCAGTCCAGGAAGTCTCTGACTCGTAGTCTGAATCGTGTGGGGAAGTTTAGACTACCTGAATGGGATCATCCAGACAATAGGAATCAGTGATTGAGAACTCTTGGTGACATAGTTGAAAATAAGTCACAGTGGTGCAGATGTATTCACTCCTTGACATCTTCTAAAACTGAATAATCTCACTAACTTTTATCTTCAAACTACTTATTCTTTCACATAACTTCACCTACTTTGATATCACCTTAATTCTATCCACCTATTCTTTGTATATTACTGTGATGTGTTGCAACTTAAACCCATGAACTTGTATGCGAGGTTCTACATTGATTCTCTCTCTGTATGTCTCACTGACTTCGCCGTCACCCTCAAACTATCTTTCCAGTAGGATCGATTCTCTTACTTGAGTGCGAGAATCGCTCACTCAATAGCATAACTAATTCTGAAAGCTTTAAACTTTGTAGTGGGATTGACAACTCTTGTTAAAACTCATCCCTTAGATCTTTGGATCAGGTTCTGTAAGTAACAGGATTTGAATTCGGTTGCAGTGATATGAATGCATCTTAGTAATACGTTTCCAACACCCAAACATCATATTTTTAATGATTCCCCCTATTCTTCATCTTTTTCTTCCAACAACTATCTAAATTATTCCTTTCTTCTGGTTGATTTTCCTTTTGTGTTGCTGTGAAGTGTAAGGATATGGACAGATTCACAATTATGGTATATCCAATGTTGCTGGCGCTTATTACTACTGAATCCATTCAGTTTCACTTCACTTCATAGTAATCATCATGAATACTTCACGATTAATTAGTAACTCGAAATGTAAAATATCATTCCACTCGAAATGGCTTACGTCTTGATTGCTCTTATCACTAGCAGATATTGTTGATGAACCACCGTGCATGTTATTGAAAGTTCATTATCCAGTTTGACGAAATGAAGAAAGTTTTGTACACAACACAATTTCAAACTTGTGACTTACTGACTTAGGCTACCGACTACCATTCTAATGAGGAGCAGGTTACATTTCACTGGCTAATTATCAGTTTCTGCTTGTCTGTAAATTATTTTGCACTACAAATACACTCTTTATATAGTTAATTGGCTTTATGTCCGTCCCTTATCGATATTCCTACTTAGAACTCACTTCAGTAAAATACTTATTCATCTACTTTTTATGCGAACCTTCAGTCTTGGATGCCCACCTTAACACTTAAGGAAGCCCTCACCTTCAAGCCAATCTAATTACCCTTCCTGGACAAAATTCCCTATTACTAAATGTCTACCAGTAAGTAGTTATTTTGCCCATAGCCTAAGTTGTTGTATTTCATTACGCCTATTAAGTCTCCTACAAAAAGGAAATCTGGAGATCAACACAAGATGCTTTCCAATTATCCCTAGTGAATTCAGTAAAGTCAGGAAACCGTACACCCAGATTTAAGCCGATTTAAACTAATCGTATGCTAACCGATTTCGACCACCAATCTATCCTCCACATTCTATTCTCATATCTATGTATGCAAAAAATAGAGGACAATAACAAACATGTTGCACACACACACACACACAGCTTAAATCAACATGGTCTATATAACTTCACTCAATAATAATCTACACTCAACATTTTTACTATAATTACACAAATCAACGCTAGTAAACCATTTTCAATAGATGTATCGATCTCAGTAAATACCATTGTTACTATCATCATGATTGAATGAAAACAGATCATGAAATTATAGTAGTTAGTGCAAAGGGTGGGAGGTGAAGAAGTCACTGTTTTTAATACGCCTGAACTAAAAGTCGACAAACCGTAAACATCTGTGCATATAATATCACCACCTGATCAAACATCACCATCTACTGAAGTCAATGAAATCAGTGGATATATTTAACTAGTAGATGATTACAATAACAGGTATATAAAATGACACATAATCTGATAAACATGTTGAAAATGAAAGTCATACATCATTTGGAAAACAAGCCAATGATACTGTATCACTCCTGTTTAAACTTGTACTTTTGTTTGGTTCCTTTCCTATGAAGAAATGTTGTGGCATGATTTTGTCGTTCTTATCAATCTTTATCTTGGGTAAGTTATTCATCAATATTTTGAGACAATGACAAAACTTCTAAATTTACTGATATCTTTGCTGCATCGTCGGAGGACTGTTGTATCAGCTGAGACCAACGTTAAATACCATCATACGAGCATCAGTATTTGATCACTAGAGGTGGGATGTCGCATCATGTATCTTGCTTCACGTATAGAGCTAATATAGGCTTGCTCGGGATTACTAATATTTGGTTATTTCTAAATTATAAGTTGGCTACTTCGTATCGAAGTAAGCACTAGTGAAGTCGCCTAGCCTGGTAATCAAGCATCCAAGAATAAGCCTCATAGCTCGGAAAACACTAGACGGTTGGCAGAATCACTTATATCAAATGTCTAACTGTGGCATCTCACACAGATTTATGTGGAGTTGTAGCCCATTGGTCTAGAGTTTTGACTTTCAACCACTGGTTCGTTAGTTTGAACACCGCCTCACCTGCCGAAGTTTCGGCAGCTAATTGGTATCAGTAAGCCTGATACAGTAGGTGTGACGCTGCTTATTGCCTACTGTAAAATTGTGCACAAGTTTGCATTTCTCAGCTTACGTCACCTGTGGCGTTGGTGAAATATCCGGCTATCTGTGCTGCAGTCTATTCTGTCTTGTTTTACGGCTTTGAGACATTGGCGTTAAAAGCAGACGGTATGAAGTGGTTTCAGGGTTTTGATCTTGGATTTCTTCGTGGCATTGCTTGCGTGTGGTGGAATCACCATGTTAACATTGTTGAGGTTAAGCGAAGGGTACTAGGTAAGGTAGACAAGGCGATTGATCGGGTTGTAAACCTTCATTGACTGAAGTGGCTTGGAAATGTGCTGCGCATGCCGATTTACCGTCTACTTTGACGTGGCATGTTGGGGGGGGGGGGAGGAAGTTGGATTAGTTCGAAAGTGGTTACAGGGTGGCCAAACCAAGAGGCGGCAGCAATCGATGGTCAGCAAATGGGAATGCGAACAAGCGATAGTAACTCATCACGAATTCACTTTGGGAGTCGGGCAAAACCCTTGGTGACTGAAGTGAAATTTAGATCTGGTCAGCAGTCCGGGTCTCGTAACTCAGTTGGTAGAGCATCGAAGCGGCAACCCAGAAGATGCTGGTTCGAATCCTGCCGCTATCGAGCTCTTCACTCCACCTTCAGTCATTACCTAGTATTAAAAACACAAATCTCCCAAGCGATGGCTACTTCAGATAGTCAAACTGAAAATCCTGTTATTGTCTGCCTCAACTTACATACAAGTACGATTATACAGCTTTTGTAGATGAAATCGTCGCAAAGAGAAATTTTCTTCGGTGAAATCTTTTATGTCTTGATATAGGTTATAAATATAGAAGTGCCATATGTTGATGAACATCAGGGTTGAATCTTTAAGGAACAGTTTGAAACACACACTCAGAAGGATAAGTCCCTTTATTTTCTTGCCTAAAGTTTTTTTCAGCATATGAACTATAATGTCGTATTCCATTGTGCTTTATTGATTAATGCAATATGGATACAAATACATGAAGATAAAGTCATCACCATATACGGGCCAAAGTCTCATACGACACAATTAAACATCTTCAACAATAGATCAAGTGAAAGAAGAATCGTTATATGTATAATAAAGGTATTAAATGATATAGATAGCACCATAGGCAGCCACGAAACGACTGATGGACAGTGATATATGTTTCATAGTGATGATAAATAATGGCTAGCAGTGGAATCCAGGATGTGCGTTTCGTCTGGTCCGCGACTCATCGGCTGGATGTACCTGCACCCCACTGAGCGATATTATTCCCACTAAAATTCGTACCTGGGACTGATCGCTTCAAACGCCACGTCATTGAGTCACGATAGCCACTTCTTTTCATAATGTCGCTCGTATTATCCCAAATGGGATGAAACGCACGTCCTAGATTCCACTACTAGCCACTAACCATGATTGAAATGATAGACAATGTTGGGGCATCCGTACTGGAGCCCATATACCAATAGAGACCGATCAAGTTCGGTCCACTCAATAAGGGATAATACAAGTAACATCACAGTCATATATGTTAATATTGTTTTTTACATTGATAGATAGTTTTTCAGTATTCTCTCCTTTATGTGAATCACAAGTGTTTTTTCCCTATAATCTGTGGTGATTATTATTATTTGTCCCATCGGTTCCTAGTGGGACAAAGGGCTTCGGTAGCACGTCGTCATTTCACTCTCTTCTCTGAAGTCTTTTGAACCTGGCTCCACGTCTGCCCAGAAGCTTTCATTTCTTCCTCACACCATCTCCTCCATGTCACCCTCGCCTCGGACGCCCGACTCGTCCTTTCCCATGCGGGGTCCACTCCAGGTTCTGAGGCGTGATGTCCCCAATCGGTCTTCTCTGTCTATGTCCAATCCAATCCATCTCCACTTCCTTCTGCATATTTTTTGGGTGATGAGTTCTTGATTGGTTCGTTGACAGAGCTCCTTGTTGCTTATTCTTTCTGACAATTTGATCTTCAGTATCGAGTGTAGGCAGCAGCTGTTGATTAATATCTGTAGTTTGTTGGAAATGATTTTCGTGACGCACCAACTCTCCCAACCACCACATGTAAGCACTGACTTGACGTTGGTGTTGAAAATCCGGATCTTGTTCACGCTTTATGCTGAGTGCGGTAGATCTCCAAACTGATTTCATAATAATGAAGGAAGGCCTGTCTTGCTGTCTTTCCGATCGTGGCTTTGAGGTCCTTATCTGTGCCGCCTGTAGTAGTCGGAACGATGCTACCTTCCTAGGTAGGTGAAAGGGACTTCTTCCTTTAGATTTCTCCCGTTGATGGTGATTGGTGCTTGTTGTTGTTGGTGGTGGTTGGGTGTCTTCATCACCTCTATCTTCTTTACGTTCACTTGAAGTCCCTTCTTCGTTACCTCGTCTCTTCTACCAACCTGTTAGCTTTTGCCTGTAGTTCTTCGAGTTTGCGCGAGATTAAACATAAATCAGCGTTGGCGAAATCCAAATCTTCTTCTGGGGTCTTTTCATCAGTCCAGTGTATGCCCATCTTCTCACTCTTCATGATTTGTTACATGATCCAGTCCACCACAATCAGGAAGATCATGGGTGATAGTAGATAGCATTGTCTTACTCCTGTCTTCACTGAGCTTTCCATTGTGGATCACCTAGCATGTGGCGTCGTCATATAGCTGTTGAATGAGGTTGATAAATGTTTGTGGTACTAAAACAGTAGTGTTGAAGCAACTGCCTGACAAATTACTTCTCGGTTAACGCTGTTGAAGACTTCGAATTTGAGGTAGAGATCGAGTTGACTACCATTTTATACTCTGTTCTATGATGATGGTTGGCGTAGGGTTGCAATTTGGTGCGCACATGACTTGTTCTTTGTGAAGCCGGCCAATCAGCCTGTTTCGGTCGTAACTTTGAATCCAGCGCATCCTTTAGTCTCTTCAGAATGATGTGGCTTAATATTTTGCTATGGGTAAACAGGAGCATGATTCCTCTCCAGTTCCTGGAAAGATTTAGTTCACCCATTTTTGGGAGCTTGACAAGATAGCCCTTCTTCCAATCGGAATGGACTTTTCCTTCCTTCCTTCCAAACCTTCTGCAGTAGTGGTGTGAAGATGTCCGCTGTTGTCTCTGCGTCGATTTTCAATGCTTCTGGAGGAATTTCATTTAGTCCTGTTGCTTTCCCGGATTCCAGCAACTTAATGGCATTCAGGACTTCACTTCTGCTCTTGTCGGAGGGCTTGTGTTCACTGATTGCTGGTGATATTTCTGTACGAGTTACAGGTGATCGTGGTGGTCGATTCAAGAGCTTTTTGAAGTGGTCAGCCCATTGTTTCCTTCCTTCATCCTCTTTGGTGTCAGCTAAGTTCCACTCACTATCTTTCATTGGTTTCATCTGAGTTGATCTCTGCTCTCCTAGATAGTAACCTGGTTATTTGATATAGTGTTGTCAGGTCTCTGTCCCTCCTACCTGCAGCCTGTTCTTCTTCATTTGCCAATGTGTCGTAGAAGTGTCTTTTGTCTTTCCGTGCACTCTTCTTCACTTCTTTGTCCAGTGTGGTGTTTTATAGGTTGTACTCAACTTCTCTTTTCTTTGTTCATCCCTGCACTGCACTGGTTCATCTTCCTCCCACTTCTCTATCAGCTTCTATGTGTCTGCGGAGATCCATTCCTTGTTCGCCTCTTCTTCTTCTTCCTTCCTAACACGGTTATGCAGATTTTCTTGCACGTCTCTTCCACAGAGTTCCAGTGTTCTTCCACACAGGTTTCTTCAGGGATGTTGTTTAGTATCTCCCTTTTTGTCCTGATGGCTGATCGACGTGAATATGTTCATTATAGTTTTGTCCTTCAGTTCAGTCTCTGTTCTGGGTGTTGAACTTGAACTGTGGTCGTCTACTACCAACTTCTTTCAAGGCTTTCACCTTGATTTTGAAGGTGGGTTCGTTGGATCGGATAGTGAATGGTGTGAACCTACATCTGTTCCCCTTCTTCATCTGATCTTGCGTCCAGTAGGCTGTCTGCGTCTCCACTATCTTCACATTGAGATGAAGTCTGTCTGATTTTTAGTGTAGTGTGTCCATCTGGTGAATGGTGAAATCCATGTCGCTGACTTGTGAATATCCTTGTGTTTGTACATACTGCCTCGAATCACCAGATTGTTGAACGCGCAGAAGTCTGCAAACAGTTCTCCATTCTCGTTCATTTCACCGAGTGGTTCTCGACTCAAGATGAGTTCACTTCGTGTGTTATCTGCTCCCAGTTTGGCATTCATATCACTCCACCCATTGTAATGAATTTTGATGTTGCCAACTGGAGTGGTGTCTTGTCCATTACTGATTGCAGTTGTGTGTAGAATTCCTCCTTCGTCTGTTGATGTGCATTATTTGTAGGTGGTTAGTGTAGCTTAGCATTGTATGATTGTGAGTTTCCCTCCTTTTGAGTTGAATGTTGCTGTGATGAACCTGATGTTGTAGGAGGAGATTGATTCCTACTGTGTGAGAGCATTTGATGCTCTTGGGAACATCATGATAGCCACTTTAAAACTCAGTGTGTGTTGTGGTTGTCATTTGTGTGAGGGTATTGGAGTAGATTATTGACTGCTCTCTAGTTGACAGTTTGTAGAGTCGACTTCCATTCGATCTTCTTTCGGAGATTCCTAACAGTTTGTTTTTATTTTTTATATTTTGTTTGTGGTTTGAAGTTTCTTTAGCAATTGGATTGGTTTTATGGGGTAGGGTTGCTGGGCCTATGTCTAACTTTCCTTGTTTATCTGGGCTTAGGGCCGGCTGGTAACTAGTGAACTAGTTAACTAGGTGAGGTTAATCTGTTGTAATAGATGGAGTTATTCCTCTTTAAATTGTGATATATATTATTCATGTTAATTTGTAGATGTGATTGGGTTCAGCTGGTTGATCCTAAAACCCAACAGCTAATGTATATCCACTTGAAATCTGGTGAATGTAGTCGAGATCCTCCAAAGAATGCTAAAGTGTAAGTTATACTTGTGAATATAACAAAATACGTTTAATTGTATAGGATTGTACATTCCATTCATTTGTAATTTCATCATACAGGTGAATATAAGTCAGAACATTGCCTTGTTCACCTTGATATGACGATAAACTTCGAAAGATTTGTCTCTGTCCATTTGTTTTATTACTTAATGATAATCTTTATGACTGAAATATCGATTACGTCTAGATCTTTTTGTAGCTTAGTAACTAGAAGCATTGAACAGCAATGTGCATACATGACCCAACTGGGGGTAGAACTCAGTACCTTCAGGTTCTGTTGCTAGCATGTTGATTAGACTGAATTCATCAGTCTCTGAACAAAATGGCTCATTGAAAGGTGAGTACATCCAATTGATGGGTTTCAAATACGACGAAATGCATTTCCTAGATTCCACTACTAGCCACTATGCATCATTTAATAAATATATTTTGTAGTTTTAAGTGTTGATTCTACTTTTTATGCTTAGTGTTTCATATTATTACATCATAATTTATTTATTTTAGAAAAACAGTATCACCTAACCAATGGTGGGAGTTATTCGATGTAAAAGCTCAAAGAAATTATTATTATAACAGTTGTACTCGAGAGACTGTCTGGCAAAAGCCTATCGATGGTGATATTATCCCTTTGGCTAAAATACAAGTGAGTTACAATATCTTATTCATTTATATGCATTTTGAATACATATTTCTTTATGTATATATACCGATGATAATATCCTGCTGATATAAGCATAATATAATATTACGTCTAATGTTCTTCTCCCTACTTTTCTTCTGTTTAACATATAAATAACTTTTTTTTTTCTTACTTAAAAGTGAAAATCACTTCCACTTCTTGTAATTTCAATGTCACTGAAACGTTTTATTGTTTCAAGTTGTTATACATCGTAGACTGACATCAGTTGGAGGAACAAAGGAAACCTGGGAGCACTGGATAGCTGTTTCGTCCTAGTATGGGACTCCTCAGCAGTGCGTACCCACCAGCAGGGATCGTACCCGCGACCTTCAGGTTCCGCGGCCAGCGCGTTACCATTGAGCCACTGGGTCAGAATCCAATATTCCATATTTCCAATTTCTGTTAGCTCACGATATATAGCGCAACCGCCACCCAATGTCATCTCTGTTTGTTTATTTTTTTTTGTTGCTTTTTTCATTCACCACTTCTCATTTACTTCTGTAATATTATGTAAAGAATTGATTGATTTCAGGCAGACTGACAGACAGAATCAATGTAGAACTTCGCACATGAGTGCATCAGCTCAATTTGCCATACTTCTGAGTAGTTCACAAAGAACATGTGAAAAGAATAAGACATTGATATCAAAATAGACAAAATTGTATGAGAAAATAAACAATTTGAAGATTATTCAAGCTTTAGATGTCAATGAGTGAATACATCTCCACCATTGTGACTGATTTTCAGCCATGTCACCAAGAGTTCTCAATCACTGATTTCTATTGTCTGGATGATTCTATTCAGGTAGTTTACACTTCCCCACACGGTTTAGACCATGAGTCAGAGACTTCCTGGACTGATTGGTGCAATGTCTCTTTGTCTGGCCACCCTGAACCTTCTTCCAACCTAATACAAATTATGTTAGCATAGCACCTCAGTCGATGAAGGTTCTAAACCTCATCAATCTACTTACCTATTATGCTTAATACCCATCGCCTGACCTCAACATTGCAAACAGTGGTGCGAAGACACCTGTGGTCAAAAACCTGTAGTCTCTTCATATCTTCTACTTTGAACGGTTATGTCTTAGGCGTATAACAGGACAGAACGGACTACAGCGCAGTATATTCATCCTTTGATAAGTCGTCCGATATCTCACTAGTTGGTGCCACAGATGTCACAAGTTGGCAAACGCCGAACGGGCGTTTTGTATCCCAGATGAGAATTCGTCAACAACCAGGCCGTTCAGTCTGATACAACTCCCCAATTAAGTGAATTGGTCGACATATCTAACCACTTTACTCCCTGTTATTGATGGATTTCACTGCACTTTCATTATAGATTCATATGACCTATCGAACTACTAAAAACTGCTGATCACTGGACACTTATCTTGTCCTAATGTTAAACTTTCAACTACTGTTTGTCCATGACTACGTAGGTGTTTCAGCCTGAGAATATCTGGTCGCGTGGTCACCATTTTACCTTACAGTCACCATCTTAGGTTTCTATAATACTTTATTCTCCTGTCAATTTCAGATTTACTGCATTACTATACGTGCTGTCAGTTAACAGTTGTCCTAATTCCTAACTTAGTAGACCTCATCAACAAGCTTTTTATTCTTATTTTAAACAAGCTACTGTAAAACTAGTTTTTTGGCGGAATTCGCTAGTTTCAAGGTAGCAATGAGATCTTAAAATAGATACCTTACTACTAATTGACTTATTGACCTTGGAAAGATTGACTCTTAACTTAATCCACTTGTGTTTGGCCGAAGTAGGTTCACGCTGGAAAAAGACCCGAGATGGCCAGACTGAAACATGACACCAATGCATGAAGTCTCTGACTGTCGGTTTGAGCCATGTGGGGCGATGTAGACTAGCCGGTTGGGGTTCGTGGGATAACAGGAACCAGTGCCTGGAGACTCTAGGGGATATAGCTGAGAACCGATGTCAGTGGCGTAGATGTATGCACACATTATCCTCATCTTAACACTATGCCGATTCTCACTATTCCCTCATTCTTCCTTTCTTTCTTTTCGTACTTTATATTTGTTTTGACTGAATTTTCTTATCTTCATCTTTCACCTCACTGCCTTTTCACTTGATTTACTGATATGAGGTGTGGCAACTCGGACCGTTACGCAGTAATGCCTGGTCCTATGTTGATATTGATGATGATGATGATGATGATGATGATAATCCACTTGTGTAGCGTTTCATTCATTTTCTAAACAGCTTAGCGATAATGTCTTTGAATTTAGGGCTAAATACTATGTATTTGAATCTCTGAAGAAATATGAATTTTTAAAAAAAATGTAGATACTTTGTTGATAGGCCCCAAGCAGATATCCCTCGGGCTTTACGGTCACCTCAAGAAGAACTAGCCTTCTATTGTGTGGGCAACTTAGAAGTTTGACTCAGTAGTTTAGGGAGATAAGTATCAACCATTGTGTCACGGATTCGAACTCCACTCCTCGTACCAAGGTTCAAGCTATCAGATAGTATCACTAGCCTTCACACAGTAGGTATGGCCCATTGACCACTCCATAGATATGCACAAGGTGACTGAGTGCATCCCGTTTCGTTCGATCCACAAGACGCAATCAAACTTTATTGATCGAGTGCTAACAGTCATGAAATCTCGTTTGAACAGCGTTTTCTCTTCAGTCACCTCATGACATTCATCAGACTACAACATAAATCCCTAACGGAACAAATCACCAATATGTACCAGTTACTAAATAGTCAAAATGCACTATAATGGTATTTTGTATAAAAACCAACTAAGTTATCGTCAACTTTCTCAATTAAGTTGGTATTCATTACAAACTGACATCATTTAGGGGAGCTATTGAAAACATGAGAGCACTGGACAACTAATTCGTCTTAGTATGGGACTCTTCAGGATTACCCACCTATGATCCCATCGGGGATTGAGCTCAAGTCACGTGATGAATACCAACTTGAAATCAATAAATCCCTATAAACCTTTAAATTGAATCCTTCAATTAAATAAAATGTTTCTTTGCATACATATTCCATTTTTTTAGTGCTTTTTTTTCCTCAGCGCTATATATTCAAAAAAAACACAAGATCCTACCTGTTTACACTCATACATATAAGTATCGATGTAAATATTGTTTGTGCATATATTTAGTTGTTCACACATTTTTACCTGTAAAAAAAAAGTGAAAAAAAACGACACAGCTGACTGATTGATCTTTTGGTGCAGTATCGATTTTTGCTAATAATATTATGTTGTCCAATTTCTGTTTATGAGACTGTAATGCATATAATGTGTGTTATTGTATTTCAGAAAAGAAAGGTATGAAATATATATACAGCATTAGTAGAATATGCACAATATAGTTCACGTATAACGTTAATGATTCCTAAGATTGATTGTGGAATCCACGATGCGTGTTTCGTCCTATCTGTGACTCGTCAACTAGATACAACTGCACCCTAATGAGTGATGTTGCTCCAAATTAAACTCAAACAGCCTACCCATCGCTTCAAACATCAAAGAGAATCTCAGTGGGAACGATATCACTCACTATGAAGCAGGTATGTCCGACTGCCGCGTCCCAAATAGGACGAAACGCAAGTTCTAGATTCTGCCGCTAGCCATAACCAAGTAACTTATGACACTTAATATTCAGGCAGTAATATCAAGGCATTTGCATAGGAGACCATATGCCAACAGAGATCGATCGATCCGATCCAGGATAACAGCGAAGAATTGTAAGCATATCAACAAATAGTAATATTATTAAGGATGTTTGTTATGCGTTGCACAGTTCGTTATACAGTTCAAGCATAAATAATAATGTATGTGTAGAGATTGACATAAAAATGGTTTCATCCTCAAAGCATATAACCGTGTTAATACTAACTGAAGTTAGTTCTTACTATATATTGACATACTTGTTATTCTCCGTTGTTTTGTTGGATCAAATTGTTCGACCTCTATTGGCATATGGGCTCCTATGCGGATGCCTCGATATTGCCTGAATGTTAATTATGATAATTTAGTTGGTTGTGATTAGCAGAAGAATTTAGGACGCGCGTTTCGTCTCATTTGGGACTCGCTAGCTGGGTGTACCTGGACCGCAGTGATGTTGTTCCCACTGAGACTCGAACTTCATAACCATCGCTTCAAACGCCAAGGCGTTATCCACTATCCCACGAGGAACGGTAGCCACTTTTTATACAACGGGTAATAGTTATTACTATTCATTGACATGCTTATTATTCTCCATTGTTTTGTTGTATCGAATTGTTCGACCTCTATTGGCATATGGGCTCGTATGCGGATGCCTCGATATTGCCTGAATGTTAATTATGATAATTTGGTTGGAAGATAGTTCTGATGATGTCGTCTAGAAAGACTATGAAAGCTTCACGATTAAAGAACGCAAATCAGAGAACACAATACAACTAAGACCATCCACCTGAGCTACAAATATTCTCCACTATGTCAAAATGGTTACTACACTGATATATATGTATCATAATTTATGCCTTCAATTGTTGGTTCCCTAAACGCAAAATAAATATAATAGCATTAAAGGGAACTGCTGTAGTGGATGGAACTAAAAAATATGTAGCATTTCTGTATACAAAATAGGTTATCAATCACTTCCGGCTAAAAATAGTCTACTTATGAAATTGGCTAAACAAACCTAGTTAGGATAACTTAATGACTCTACCTAAATGCAAAACTCTAAAAATACTATTTTTTTCAGGTTGTCCATGTAGTCAACTGAATTATTATTTCAAGTGTACACGAGCAAATCGCTTCATTTCGTCAAAGACACTTGCATTAAAGTTTGGTTTGCTTGGTCACGTCATTAATTTTGGAAAATATGTTTACTGGCGAATTATGCATACTAACTTAACATTTAACAGAATGGGATAAACAATAAAGTGTCAAAAATGTATAAGCTGTCCACATCTAA